CCAGGACCCTCGGATCATGACCTGAGCCAAAGGCAGAGGCTTAACCAACTGAGCTACCCAGGTGCCCCCAAATTTTGCTTATTTTATAATGGGAGAGTCAAACACATAATTTGGTAAAAATTAAGTGCCATGCTTTCTGCAAGCTTAAAATTAAATGGTCTTTTAAGTGTCCAATGAAGGACTTAACATGTAAAACTTTTTTTTTTTTAAAGATTTTATTTATTTGAAAGAGAAAGAGCGTGCACATGAGCAGGGTTGGGGGGCAGAGGAAGGGTGAGAAGGAGTAAATAGACTCCTGCTGAGTGCGGAACCCTTCACTGGTCTGGATCCCAGGAGTCATGAGATTATGACCTGAGCCAAAACCAATAGACACTCAACCGACTGAACCACCTAGGCGCCCCTGTAAAATGTATTTTGAATAGCCCAGAAACATTTATCTGTAGAAGATGCCATTTTATTTGCAGCTGATCTCTAAGTATTCTTTTACTGTGATAATATTTTATTTTATTTGATACTCGGTTCTATATGGTATGCTATTCATGTTATGCAGTTTCTCCCATTCTGCACTGAAGAAATATAATACTTTTTGGTGTCAAAAGCTTATCAAAAGTGAAACTGCTTATACAAATAAAGCTGTAGCTTATAAACTTTATTACCCTTTGTTTAATACTTAAGTTTTTCTCTTAAGTGGAGTAGACTTTGCAACTGAGATTCTGCTAATACTATTTAATTTATCAAGAAATATATTCCAGCTGATCCAAAGAACAAATTCATATATTCGAAGACTTACATTAAAGTATGATTATAGGGCCACCTGGGTGGCTCAGTCAGTTAAGCATCTGCCTTCGGCTCAGGTCATGATCTCTCAGAGTCCTGGGATCGAGCCTTGCATCGGGACTCCGCTCAGTCAGTGGTGAGTCTGCTTCTCCCTCTGTGATCTCTCTTGCTTTCTCCCTCTCAAATAAATAAATAAATTCTTTAAAAAAGTATGATTATAAATTATCAAAATAACAGTAATCCATTAGCTTTGTGGAAACAATAATGGAAACCTGTTTTTTGGGGGAAAGAAATAAGAAATCAGAAATGCATTACCTTTAATGAAGGGGATCAGCTTATAATTGAAGGAAAAATAGGAAGAAAATTATTTGCTTGTTTAGAGCCTGAGCTGTAAATTCTTTCTGTGTGCTAATGAGTAAACAGAATTTATGACCTAAGTAAATGAGTCAGTGGTCTCCAGATTTTTATAATACATCTTTTCCAGTAAATGTTTAAGTTATTGTATTAGTTTGGTAGATCTGCCATAACATACTACCAAAGACTGGGTGGATCAAACAACAGAAATTAATTTTCTCACAGTTCTGAAGTCTGTAAGTCCAAGATCAATCTGGAACCTTGTTGGCAGGATTGGTTTCTTCTGACACCCCTCTCCTTGCCTTATAAATGGCCTGCTTCTCCCTGGTTCCTCACATGGTCTTTCCACTGTGTGTGTTTATCCCTAGTGTCTCAGGGTTTAAATTTCCTCTTTTTATAAGGATACTAGTCAGATTAGATTAGGGCCCACCCTAAAGGCCTCTTTTTAATTTAATCACCTCTGGAAAGACTTTCTAAATACAGCCACATTCTCACGTATTAGGGCTTCAGCATGTGAAGTTTGAGGGGATAAGTTTCAGCCCGTAAGTTACATACATTTTCTATTGCACTTTGTATATATACCTCCCCCCAAATTTTTTTTAAAAGATTTGATAAAATTAAATAAAAATACAAGTTATATTTACTTCCCAGTCCCAGTGGATTGTCTGATAGAGTTTGTACACACCACTTTGGAGGCCTAAAATAATAAAATGAGAACCTCAGCTAATTAGCTATTCTGAAATGATAGTTCAAGTTTGCCTGTAACTAAGCTTTGTTCTCTTGCTTTGATGGTGGATTTCTCTGTTGTGTTTTTCTGCCATTCATTTTAAGGAACTAATAGTCTCTTGACGTTGGATTGTTTTACTACAAAGCCCGTCTTTATCTTTTTGACACATAAACCTCCACATGAATGTGAAGGGTTTTGAGAAATGTTTTATGTAAATATGAAAATTCATAAAATGCACAGAAGTCTATAAAGTATACTCCTCCTGAAACACTTCTTATATCTAATGGCTTCAGAATAAAATTGCTTAGGTATGTAAAAATTCTTTTCCTTTGTACATATTAAGCTGCTTTATTCTTTAATATAATGGTAATAATAAAATATAATTTCTGGTATTTGTGTCAGCTCAATTTCTTGTATCTGCAGTGGTTTAAAACAAGTCTGGTAACAGTTTCTATTTTTAAAATAAAGCGTGGAACTTTGTTTATTCTTCAGTAGGTATTTGGTATAAGGTAGGGGAAATCCACTAACATTCTCATGATACATTAATATTGATTCTAGATAGGTTAATGGGTTAAATATTAATGATCAAACTGTAAGAAAAAAAAGGGAGAAAGAAACAGAAATAATTGCTTGCATCTGTGGGAAGAAATTTCCAAGCCAAAAGCAATGGAATCAATTACAAAATCAAAGAACTGATTGCATAAAATTTTTAAATATTTTTACATTTAAAGGGTTATAAGAAAAAATGGGAAAGTACTTGAAAATGTGATATGGTTAACATCTCTAATATAAATGTAAATAAAAATAGCACTAAGACATAGATAAGTGGACATGAGGTGGTAATTTACAAAAGAACATAATTAGTACGATTTGAAACCTATTCAAACTAAGAACATGAAAAAATTATAAGGTTATCAGACATGCAAAGAACGATGAACAAGCATGTTTATCAACAGTAAGAAGGTAAGTTAGTATAGTGACCTCCATACCTTGGAATACTATGCAAATTTTAGAAATGATGTATATGAAGAATTTTTAATAAGAAAATGCTTATAATAATAGGATACATTATATGTACTATTTGATCAAACTTGAAAATGCTTAAAATTAGAGGAATACATCAAAATGTCAATATTGATGATTTCTAGTGGCATTATGTTCAATTTTCATTCTCATAGGCTTTTGTTTTTACATTTTCTTCAGTAAGCATTAGCTTATTTAAAATCATAAAGTAGAAACATGCTAAAAAAAGGCAAAAATAATATAATAGAACCAATATGACCTCTTTCCAAGCATTACACATCCCCTTTCCCTAATAGAAATATAGTGTATATGATTTCTACTATCTCCTTAAAAGTCTTTTAAATGTCTATTTTGCAATTATACTACCATATTAATTAAATAAATACAACATAATGAGCACAGAAAAAAATGTATAAAATCTCTTATGTACAGAGGCTGAAAGATAGACTTTTCTCTAAACAACAAACAAACTGCATGCATTTAATCACTTCACTCCTTAATACTTTATTTTCCACCAAAGCTAAATTCATTTTTAGATTACTGGGGAACTTGTTTAAGTAAATATATTAAGCTTCAAATCACATTAGTGGCGATATTTTTCTTTTCACATGATTCTAAGATTTGTACCTATGGTATATGCCTATATTGATATTTTGAACATCAAAGGTCTCAAAATGATGCTCATTAAATATCGGGGACCATGTGAAGTACTGATTTCCTGATGAATTGCTGATTGCTGTTACAAGGGAGCAACTAAAAAGTAACACTAAAAGAGCAAATAAACTGCAGTTCATATCAGAATGGGTGTAGTACTTTCCTCAGAACATGTAACACTGCCCCTAGTAAAGGGTGGGAGGCTAGTGCGTAGGGTCATTCTGGTCTTCAGGTATTTGGTATCAGAAAGTGATGATAATTTTGAAGATCATGATAGTGAAAATAAGACACAGCGGCAGCTAACATTTGGGCGTTTACTGTTTCCTACCTTTGGTGCTAAGTGCTATACTGTGTATTTCAATTAATCATTTAACTCTCTCAGTTAAAAGAGAGAGATTATCCCCATTGTTCATCTCTAGGAAATAACATGCCTAATTTCTTCATCATATCCATCCCTTTTACCCTTTGTTCTAAATATCTGAGCTAAAGGGAACTTATCAAATTTGGTAGATTCAGTAACTAGCTTAGCCTCTGAGAACATTTTACAATGATCATCATACGAAACCTAATAGTGGCAAAGTTACAATTCTTTTTACTGAACAACCAGCACGCAGCAACCACTGTTCAAGGCAAGACTTCACTTGAATCTCCAGCCACTCAAGCTCCGCCCAAGGGTCTAGCTACGCCCTCAGGAGTAAGCACCGCCTCCACCAGGGGCCGGCGGAAGTAATTTTGCGCGCGCGTGCCTCTCGCGGGACCTACACCTCTTTTTGGCGAGATTTGGTCGACAAGGGCAAAGCAGTATCTCGCGGGAAGTTGAACCGGAAAAGCGAGGGGTAGAAGTGAATGCGGGTAAACCTCGGATGTGAAGCTGTGCTTTTGATTTTCTGGAGGTTTTAGATGCTCGGTGATGTAGACCTTTTGTTTGGCATCTCGCGGAGGGATCATGTTGACCCGGGTGAGGGCTGGCACTCGACTGGGAGCCTCTGACTGAATCACTTTAACGGGCCGAGGTGGCGAGGGAGGGGGTCGGGATGGGGGAACTTCGCGAGCTGTTGGTTTCTTTGGCTTCACAGCCCAAAGTCCTAGAGTAATGCTGAATGCTCGAACGCCTTCTCGCGAGCGTTCTCTGTCGGTTTCTCCCAAGACTCACCTGCGCCCCCCGTAACTTGTCTGTAATCCAAACTGCAGACCTGAATACCTATTCCCTTAAGCTTTGAGCCGAATACAAGCTCCACAGGGCCTGAGACTGTCAGCTGCTCCATTGTGGGAGCTTAGAACAATGTTACATAGTAATACCTCGCTAAACTTTGGAAGTAAATGAAATAGAATTGCAAGGAAGTTTCCACAGGAAACGAGTGACTTTTTTTTTGAAATAACCTTTTTAGAATAATTTTACATTTACAAAAAAAGTTGCAAAGATAATACTAACTTCCATAGGCTTTTCACTCAGTTTCCCCAAATGTTAACACCTAGAGTGGCTTATTTAATTTTGTTCCTTTGACGCAGCTTCTGTTAAGTCCACTTTTTTTTTTAACGCCACAAATCCTTTAACCTTTGCTTTACATTTGAGCAATAATTATTTGAAGAAACCCTCTTTTTTCATAAATACAATTTTGTTACATTTGAGGTAATGCTCTCTTGCAAGAACTAGTAATAATTGTAAAACGTGTTAAGAAAAAACCCTGCTTATTTGAAGTTTAATAAATTTGTAGTGGCAGATTGTGTCAACAGCGTTTTCTTGTCATCATAGCTGAAAGCAAAATCAGAGAGGAAGCTTGCAAAACAGATTTGCAAAGTTGTATTGGATCATTTTGAAAAACAGTATTCCAAAGAACTTGGAGATGCCTGGAATACAGTAAGGTTAGTATAATTCATCTCTTGATGCTTTATGATAGAACACGAAATAAACCCTTTTTGGGGGAGGGGTGCTGTGAGTATAAAAGATAAAGGAATCTAAATCTGGCTACCCTTTTCCTACAGAGGCTACAGAAGAGAAGAACTGTGAAGAAATAGATGGAAAATCATAGGAAAATGTAAAGGGGAGAAAGAAATCTTTGTAGTAATAGTAAGGAAAAAATTGTTATGGCCTTGCCTTGAGCAATTGTTTTGATCTTTGAAACAGGAATGCCCACCAGTTTGACAAAATTAATTATACTGTAACAGAAAAATCTTAAAATTTTTGAGGGTATTTGACTAGTTTCTGAAATTCAGAAGATAATAAATCTTTAAAGCTGGCATAGCTCTGTCTTAGCTAGAGTCACTTTATTTGGTTATCATATTTCTTCCCTGTGTTTTTGGCAGGCTATGTTTTGAACACGTGTACACACACACAAATTCTTTGAATGTATTATTGAAAATAAATGTTTCATGCATAGAAGTAAGTGAGATAAGTTTGATTTGTATGTTTAGTGATTTTTGCCTTTGGTCAGAATGTTATTCCATGGGTTCTCTACATTGAGTTCTTTTTTTCAATTTTTGTTTAAATTCTAGTTAGTTAACATATAGTGTAATATTGGTTTCAGGAGTATAATTTAGTGATTCATCACCTACATATAACACCCAGTGCTCAGCACAGATGCCCATCACCATCTAGCCCATCTCCCACCAACCACCCCTCCAGCAACCCTCAGTTTGTTCTCTATAGTTAAGAGTCTCTTATGGTTTGCTTCCCTCTCTCTCTCTCTCTTTTTTTTTTTTCCCTTCCCCTGTGTTCATCTGTTTTGTTTCCTAAATTCCACGTACGAGTGAGATCATACTTATTTGTATGTAATCATACGTATTTGTCTGTCTCTGGCTGAACTATTTTGCTTAGCATAATACATTCTGGCTATGTCCACGTCATTGCAAATGGCAAGATTTCATTCTTTTTGATGGCTGAGTAATATTCCTCTGTGTGTGTGTGTGTGTGTGTGTGTGTGTGTACACATCTTTATCCATTCATCAATCGATGGGCATTTGGCCTCTTTCCATTATTTGGCTGTTGTTGATACTGCTGCTATAAACATGGGGTGTATGTGTCCCTTCAAATCAGTATGTTTGTATCCTTTGGGTAAATTCCTAATAGTGCAATTGCTGGATCATAGGGTAGTTCTATTTTTAACTTTTTGAGGAACCTCCACACTGCTTTCCAGAGTATGGCCGCACCAGTTTGCATTCCCACTAATAGTGCAAAAGGGTTCCCCTTTCTCTGCATCCTCACCAACAACTGTTGTTTCCTGACTTGTTAATTTTAGCCATTCTAACTGGTGGAAGATGATATCTCATTGTGGTTTTGATTTATATTTCCCTGATGATGAGTGATGTTCAGCATCTTTTCATGTGCCTGTTGGCCATTTGTATGTCTTCTTTGGAAAAATGACTATTCATGTCTTCTGCCCGTTCCTTAACCGAATTAATTGTTTTTTTGGGTGTGGAGTTTTATAAGTTCTTTATATATTTTGGATACTAACCCTTTATCATTTACATCATTTGCAAATATCTTCTCCCATTCTGTAGGCTGCCTTTTAGTTTCATTGATTATTTCCTTGGCTGTGCAGAAGTTTTTTGTCTTGATGAAGTCCTCATAGTTCATTTTTTCTTTTGTTTCCCTTGCCTACATTGAGTTCTTACATAGTACATTCCATTCCCCGTAGAATACAGAGAGCAAGACAGTCCCCATATCCAGTTTGCCTGCAGTCTGGTGTTCCTGGGGGATAGGCGGCTGGTTAAAACTGTATAAACTATTAATTCCATAAATATCCTGATAGAAATAGGCAGGAGAACCTTGTCTTATTTAACAAAGCCTGAGGGTGCCAGCAAAGACCTGAGGAGAAGCCAGGCCTTGGTGACTTAACAGGAGTTACCTTAGCAAAAAGAACCAGGTAACTTAGGCTGAAAGAAGAGGGTGCTTCTGAAGCTAGGGTGCAAAAGCCCAATACTGTTTGCTCAGTAAAAAAAGGTTATGTAGCTGTAGACAGTGGAATTTAGTCACATTGTTGTCTTATTAAATCTCTTCTTAGACCAACTCAATAACACGTTCTCATTTACAAAGGACAGCTTTAAGCACTTTTTTTAAAACAGATTAAGTATTGGCTGATAATAAAGTCTGAGGTGGTTCTGAGATAATTTTAGGACAAATAACACTGTCTTAGAAACTTGTAAATACTGTAATATGAAAAAGTAGTTTATGGTTGTGGTTTCTATTTCAAAACTAGATTTTAAAATGGATGTCTTCTGTCAGAAGAAAGAAGGATGATAGTGAAGTGTAATAAATTCATTATGTTTTTGTATGTAAAGTTACTCACGTAGAATAGCCAAACAACCACACACCTACCCCGTGCTTAT